CATGTGCGGGGTTTTTTTTGCATTGTAGTCACCTACTAAAGGTTATCACTCAACAACTATAATTGTTTGACATGTTTAAGGCAACAGTGCGTCACTGATGAACAGCTGGATGTTTCTGCTGTCCTGTCTGTGGGTTTCAGTGCGTCTGCATTGTGCTCTTAAGAGCAATGTCACGCTGCCTTCGACCTAATTCTCACCCAAAAACTGTGTCACTGAGTACTGCACATCTGTCGCAATAACACGATGCACGGCACCCTTGATCATCGTTTTAAAAGCTCAGAGCTCATTTGAAAGACGCAAGGATCGCAGCAGGCTAATCGCAGGCACCCCAGCACTAAAAGCAGCTGCCTGGCACACTAGGCCATAGTCACCTCTTGATTTTCAAGTTATGCGGCAGTCGCGATCTCAGGGTCTTTACACAACCGTGAGCCCGATCACGGCTTCTCTAAAACACAGATACCTCGCAAACGGATCGGCCGGCATCTGATTAAAGCGCTCGCTCTTGTCAGGTACCTCTCTAACTCCTCGTCGCTGGTCAAGTCCATCTCTGGATCCGCGGACGAGTCGAAGTCAACAGTCGCCATTTTGCTGTAGAGAGGCGGAGGAAGACGCGAGGCATGTGGGCCTTTCATACCGCCTTCAGCTCCGCCTTCCGCAGCCCTGCGCAATATGCCCATAGCAGGTCAACGGATACACGAGAAACAATACTGAGACCGTGTGGAGAAACTACTTTCAGAAATAAAAGTGCACTAAAGTTTGAATCAAAGCATTTTGTCTAGTTAGTTAAATTAACGGTTCCAGTAGTTTTTCAAACACTGGCCCGTACTCTTTACATTGTTTTTAAACTATAGAGACTGCACAGATATCTCTGACTATAATTATGTGAAACATCTTAAAGAATTTATTTATTTTTATCTAAGAATTTTGATTCACGTCCGTGACTCGAATCTTTTGAATCAGTTCACTTAAATGAAAAGATTCGCTCAGTGATCGCAGGTGATGTTGCGCTACGCCAGTAGGTGGCGACTAATGACCCTAGTTTTTTTTGTATGGCTGAATACAAGTGCATAGTAATAGTGTAATATTTTTTTAATTGGTTTTAGAGATTTAGCTACAAATACAGTCAGGGGGGTACTTTAGGATAAACAGCAAAAAAATAAAATCAAAAGATAAAACTAAACATAAGAAAATTAAAATAAAATCATTGTTTACAAATAGTAGCTACCTGCATGGACTGACCACATTTGACAGCTTTCATGTTTTTCAGAGATGATATTGTATTGTTATGCATTATTGAACTTTTGCTTTAAAAGCTCAATTATTTTCATTTTGTAGCCTATACTAAATTTAGTGCTAGTATGTTATTTTAATTTCAGTTGATGTAGTGAGTGAGTCATCAATCCTGTTTACTATCACAGGTGGTCAGCTAAATCATTCATGCATCCAATCGATTCAGAGTAAAAATAAAGAGTGCTTCACGACCAAAATGTTTTATTACCCATTATTCAAATTTCATTCAGTTAAGAAAGTGTATTCATTGAGAAGGTGTGTGCAACCAATACTTCTTCACAACTTCTGCATATATGACTACGTATAGGCTACGTCATAATGTGTTACATAAATAATGACTAGCTATACTGATAACAAATATTAATGGGGCAGATTCCATTTTTAGTATATACTATTTAGAAGGTTTAATCTACCTTCCTTCTACTTGTCAACTTTTTCCAGGTGATTTGATCTATTTTTATTTATCTGTAGTTAATGGTTTTTAAAACATCAGCCTTTTTTCTTTTGAAATATATGTAGGCCTATTTATCTTTTTTTACTATATTCATTGGTTTGTTTATCTTGCTTATGTGTTTTTCCGTCTGTGTTTTCTTTGAAATATTGTGTCGAATGCTCATTAATGTTCTCCTGAATGTGTTTGTACAATATCATTTCTGTTTCTTCATATATGTGCATGTATGCATGTATTTCTCCACATCCAATCCCAAAAGTTTATATGTTTACAGGTGTTTTTTATTTACTTTTATTTTTAGTAATACCCTTGTAATACCTATGTATTACATGTACCGGCATGTATTGTTGTCCTCCGGACAGAGAGGGCGCTATTCAGCTCAACGGAACTGGTGTCACATTTATATATAAATGATATCGGACATAAACAACAGGAAGAGAGTACGGTAAGTCCAGTTTTTTCTTAAACGCTTCGGTTATTTTCTTTAATGCATTTAATACTCATCAAAGATGAATACAATTTAGTATTCAATTATACAGTAATCTGATACACTTTGAAGATGTAGCTTCAGGCGCAGCAGGTTTATGCACATGTGACTGTTGCATAAAGGCATGATTATTATTGCTTTTAATTAGTTCTCTCTATTCTCTCGTTGTAACAGGTTTCTACTACAACCCACCTTTTATCTCTAGTGTATTTCTGTACTTTAATGAAGACTGTGCGGTTGTAAGTGATCAGGGGCAAGAGCTGCAAGGTGGTGGTGTGTGGCCAGGGGTCGGTGGGCAAAAGCTTGGCTCTGGAGCAGTTACTGTACGCCAACCATGTCGCAGGTGAGTGTTAGGACAGCGCCCACCTGACACCTGAGTCAATTCTTAAACCCAAATAAATGAGCAGTACAGGTCACGTGGTGCCGGTTTGGCAGGTTCAGAGACCATGGAGACACTGGAGGACATTTACATCGGGTCTGTGGAGACGCACCGCGGCACCCGAGAGCAGGTCAGGCTGTGCGGTGGTCACGAGTTTCCGCGGCACTACTTGACTTTCGCCGACGGCTTCGTGCTCGTCTACAGCATCGACAGCAAAGAGTCCTTCAAACGCGTGGAGGCTCTGAAGAAAGACATCGACCGCTGCCGTGACAAAAAAGAGGTCTGAGTGTTTGTCATGCACAGACTGCACACCACCCGTTCAAAAGTTTGGGGTCAATATATATATATGTATATATATATATATATATATATATTTAATGAATACTTTTATTTAGCACTGACGTATTAATTAACAGTGGCAGTAAAGACATGTATAATGTTGAGTTTTATATATACAGTATACAGTATATTCATCAAAATGTATCTACCCAGCTAACGGGGAACGTTCTGGCAAATGCTCTTCCAGTACCATTCATAGAGCGATAGCACAAAAACATTATACATCATTCATGGAACGTTTTTTTATTGTTTTATTTGGCCGTTTATCTGGCATTTTTGTAAATGTTACTTTTTGTGTCAGACCATTTAGAGATCATTCAAAAGTAGCATTTGCAAAATGATCAGATAAAATGTTCCCAACATCAGGAAAACGTTTGGTTACACTTTACTTGAAGGGGTGTGCATAAGACTGACATGACACCTTCATAATCATGACATGACACATATCATGAATATGAAGGGTTTTTATGCATGTTTATGACAACTGTCATTAAGTGTCATTCACTCAGTTATGTAATTTTTAATGCAAAGATGACATTGTTTGAGATGTCTTTGTTATGGGCTATGGTTAGGGGTAAGGGTAGGGGTAGGGGTAGGGTTAGGTCAAATAATGTCATTTTTGCATTAAAAATTACATAACTGAGCGAATGACACTTAATGACAGTTGTCATAAACATGCATAAAACCTCCTTCATATTCATGACATGTGTCATGTCATGATTATGAAGGTGCCATGTCAGTCTTATGCACACCCCTTCAAGTAAAGTGTTACCAAACGTTCTTTGAACATGATTTTGTTAGCTGTGTACAAAAATATTAAGCAGAACAGATGTTTTCTGAGCAGCAAATCAGCATATCAGAATGATTTCTGAAGGATCAAGAGACACTGAAGGCTGGAGTAATGATGCTGAAAATACAGCTGTGCCATCACAGGAATAAATTACTTTTTAGAATGCATTCAAATAGAAAACTGTTGTTTTGCTAATATTTCATAATATTACAGTTTTACATCAAATAAACGCAACCTTGGTGAGCATAAGAGTTCTTGCAAAACATTAAAAAGCCTTGCCACTCCAAATTTTTGAATGACTCATGAGGAGTCCAATTTTAATTGATATTTTGAGAAAAACATGACAAGTCTTTTCAAGCTAAAAACTGACATCATGAAATAAATGTAAAGAAACTTTCTTTCTCTGTCTCACAGGTGACTATTGTTGTTGTGGGTAATAAGTTGGACCTGCAGGATCAGAGGAGAGTGGACAGCGAGGCGGCTCAGCAGTGGGCACGGCAGGAGAAGGTCAGGCTGTGGGAGGTCTCTGTGACCGACAGACGAACGCTCATCGAGCCCTTTGTCCATCTAGCTAGCAAAATGACCCAGCCTCAGAGCAAATCCACCTTCCCACTCAGCCACAACAAGAACAAGGGCAGCGGCTCCCTGGACAGCTAGACATGGAGAAGATAGCAATAGCGCTGACAGAGTAACATAAAGATATGTTAGAAGAGAGATGCCAGGCAAATCTCTAAAGAGTGACATCAACAGACGCTCGATTTGATATCTTTTGAAACATTTGAACCTGGAGTGCCATTATAAGTTTAGCACACTGTATGAAGTTACTGCATCAAGGAAGTTTTATATTCTTAAACATACAGGATAGAATCCATGTGTTGCTGTGATATATTTCTCTCATGCTTATCTTGAAGCAATTGACTGACAAAAATACTGCTTTTACACTGAAATATATATATATATATACCTCTACATTGCAAAAAGCTGTTATATCCTATGTGAAATCAGCTAGGATGATTCGACTTGTTCAATTCTGACATATTTCATGACATTTGTGCCATGATGACTGCTCTTTTGTGATGTCAACTTGACAGAAGATTGTCTTAATTTAGTTAAGCGGACTGCATGGATGGTTTACTTATTTTTAGGTGTTCATATTTTGTCAGACACATTCCTATAAAATGTTTACTGATTTATTCCATAAGAACACCTAAGGAAGTGCAGTTTGTTTGAGTTTGTTTGATTGTGAGTGAGCTCACCACTGTGCCATTGTACTTTTGACCCTGATGACTGGATTTCATGAGTAGTCAGTCATATTGTATAATGTTCGCTTTCAATTGTGAACATATACAATATATTTCTGTTCTTTTTACATGGAAAAAGTATGACTTGTGAAGATTTGACTCTTAGTTTTAGCTGAGATCGCTTTCAAATACATTTTGACATGTTTTTAAAAGCATTTTTTGTCTGAAACAAAGACTGTATGAGCAGATTTTTAACATCTTAATAAAGCTGCTTGGCTGCAATTGTTTACCGCTCATTCATCTTTTCTAATCTAAATTAACGCTTAATTTACACTGGTCAAAAATAATGTTGATGTTCTATAAAGACAATATCAATTTTAAGCACATGATCTGTACACACACTTGAAATCTTGTCTGCTTAACAACACAGCAGCCATCTTCCATCTGAATGAGCCCGACATATCTGCAGTCTCTCTTCAGGGGGAGTAAACGAGAGAATTGGTTTTATTTGCCCTTTATCGATCTTTTTACAGAGTAGATATTTCATTTAGTTCATGGCTAGATCGGCAGTGACCTTATAATAGAGGGCTCTCCACTTCTGCCAGGGAGAGTGTGTGTCTGTGTCTTGAACAATGTCTAAAGTTAATGCTTGCTTCAAGCTACCCTTCATTTCATGAGGCTTGTGTCAGTGTGCATCATTTACAAATGCTTCACATTATGCAAATGTACTTTTTACCCACTGTTACACAATACACTACACACATTGCACACTTCACACAACATATAGTTTCAAAAATGCACTTTCTAAAAGGGTCTGGGAACTTCTTGAGCTGCAGAACGGGCTGACATAATAAACTGACCCATAAACCCAGCATAAGGAAGCCTACTTGCAAGATGTGAAGTGGAGGGGGTCAGTAAGCATGGTATAAACAAATAATTATTGACTTTCAATAATAAAATATAAATATACTTTTGTATGAATATGTGTATTTAGTGAAAGCATGATGCAAATAATGCATAGTCCCTGTTAACACAATACGTTCTAAGCATGTTTTGCTAACATTTCTATTAAGTTATGAAGCATTATTTCTGAAAGTTCTCTGAACTTTCTTAGTTATGCGATCGTTAAGGGGACATTCGATTTTATCATTTTGCAAACTTTTAAATGTTCCCTGAACATTCTGAAACAAGCACTATTGATAACGTTAAACAAACTAAAATGTTTCGGGGGGAAAAACCGAACACACCTTTTAACGAACACACTATTAATGTTACTGGAGAAACGTTTGTTGAAAACTTGAAACGAACCTCGCCAAAGTTCTAAAAACGTTCCTTGGGTCAATCAAGAACACCATCGCTGAGCAAAAGTGATTTTGTAATTCGATAAATATCTAATTAAGTGCCTAAAACATTTTGGCGGGCTTTGTGCTGACAAATTAATTTTAATAGAAGGCGAACATTTTCAATTTTATTAGTAATATTTTTTGGCACACTTGTAAAAATCTGAATCCATGCCAATTTGTAATTCATAACAATGTAGATATACTACTACTAAAATATTCTAAATTTCAAATGTTTAATGAATATAAAGGTTAAAAAAACCGACTGACCAGTTTGTAAAATTTTTAAATCTGTCAGTTCACTTTCATATTCTTGCCGTTCTCATCGTAAACACAAGATGGCGCACACTTGTTGAGGTGAACGATTGGAACGAGAGAGTACCTGTGTGTGTGTGTGTGTGTGTGTGTGTGTGAACTATGGTGGATACCAGTTGGTAGACTTTTTTTGCCTAGTTTTGCTGGGTTTACATCGAACTGGGAAGTTTCGACAGGTTTGTCATTATAAAGCTAGACGCCATGACAAGCTGTCATCCTCTGGTCCAAAACCACGAGTCCCATATGCCCCCAAAAGAACAGCCAGAGCACTGGGGTGGAAGTCTAATCGATTTATTTCTCTCTCTCTCTTTCTGCTTTATTTCGTCTTCACGCATTCATACACACCATGTACAGAGAAAGAGCAAATGAGTCAGAAAACCAAGACGCAAAATCCTATGAAAATACGTTTTCCTTTGTGTCAGCTAACAGTTCAGATCAATGTTAGATCAGACACAGACAGAAATCTATTGAGCACAAAGAACAAATGACATATAATGTCTGTCATTATTTAAATTACGCAATACTGGCCATGTCCCTTTTAAGCGATATTGAAATCTTCTCATCCTTGTTCATGCTTAAGAAACGTCTAGTTGGATTGGACACATATTTTTCAGTTTGCACGCATACATGCACATTTTCACATGAGGCTCCATGATTTCCAACACATTCATGGGTGAAACTGATTTTTTTGTGTGTGCTTTTTGATCATATGAGAGTTTCACTCTTGTAGGTTGTATGTGCCGACAACTTGAAATCTCAAATTTGGCATTTTGGCATTAATGAGTATATGGATTTTTCGGATGTTTCCATGACTGTCCTGTGACAAACAGATTCCATCGGTGTAAAATAAAGTGGGAGAAATGTCATATTAAGCTTTCCAGTGTCCTCCAGATTGGCAATAGGAACACTGCACACTACATCATCAAGAGCACTCACAACATTAAGAGAACGAGGGAAGAAACATGTACACTAAAGATAGAGAGAAAGAGAGAGAAAGAAACGGAGTAATCTTCCATTTTCTTAAAAAGGTTCCAGTTTCCGTCATTATTGCTTAAAGATTGAATTTCACTAAACTGAAAAAGCAACAGAAAATCCCAACAAACAACCTTAAAGATATTTTGGAACTGTTATTTTGGACAACATGTGAAATCATCCACCTACCAGAGACCATCACAGTATAATAACCAGCCATATCTGCTGTATGGACCTCATGAGGACAACACAACCAGGAATGGTGCGGTTACGTCTTCTTGTGCCTCAAGAAAGCATGAAGGTATCCAATGATGGACCAATGTTATTTCTCCTTCGCTATTTGTCCTTCTTTGGACCTTATGGAGATCAGTTTGACGTTCAGGAGTTATCAAAACACACACACACAAATAAGAGATTTGATTCATGGAGTCCAAGCAAAGTCCTTGTTCTAAAGTGTCTTCAGAAAAAAAGCAGAATTTGTCCATGTTGTGCCTCTTGAAGTGTCAATATGGCTGTTGCTAGATAGCTCTGTTCAAGGCCCCAGGCTTCAATCCCTCAAGGGCAAACCATCCTCTGAAAAGCAAGAGCCCTGAGTGGGCTTGAGACTCACCCGTGACTCAGGCTCTGAGGCCTTGTCAGGGTGTCTGAGTCTCGGCCCGTTTTTAGCAATATTTCTTATATTCCGTCACCTTCTTTCTCTCGCAAGCGCTTTGATTAACAATTTGACGTAAAACCTACATAATCTTATCTACTTTGCATTCGATTATCTCCTTATTTCAGTACGCATGTCTCTGCAGAAATGGTGACAAAAAGTAGTAACTTCAAGTAAAGCTCGTTCTTATTATCACATTAATTACAATGACCAGATAAAGAATCTACATTAAACATCTCATAAAATTCTACATATTTACTCTAATTGGATATATTTTAAATGTTAATGATTCACTTTTAAAAGCTGGATTCATAAAATATTTACAAAAAGCTTTGTATGCTAGGGCACATTTAAAAAAAAATTAGACAGATGAAAAATGGTACAACATAGACTCAACAGCAACATCTAATTCTACAGGTCTGAAGTCAGATGATCAGTCTTATTAGTCCATTCAAAACCATCAGATGACACTGATCTGGGGCAAAGTGATGTGACTTTGTTCAGGCTGACAGGAACGCTTGTATACTTGTAGCGGGTGAGTTTAATATATCTGAAATTTAATTGCTATTCAATGTAATCTTAAAATACTTCTTTCAACGGTAATGTTGTATATTCAGTAACCCGCCATTATGGGCATTATATTTTGGCAATGGCTCCTCTGTGCAAATAAATCAGTGATGCTTCCGGAATCGAAAATGTTATTCTGAATAAAATTGAGAGTAATGAACTCATGACAGGTTTTGGATCAAACACACACACACACACACACAAGCAAAGAACATGGTGAGGGTTTAGATCTTAATCAAGATGGGACGCGGACAGATTTTTGACAGGCACACTGACCTTTGTGAGGCCGTAATGGGGGAATACTGAGAACAAAATATGCGGACATAAAAGGCCACGTCAAACTGTGACTGAACCGTAATCATCTCATCTGAGGTTTTGTGTGTGTGTGTGTGTGTGTGTGCATCTGCAATCTCAAATCATCTAATCTATGCATCAACACTGAGAAAATTATGACACTGATTGGGAGCGAGTGTGTGTGTATGTGATGCCTTGCTACCAAATTGTCACCTTCGTATATTAGACTGGCACTCTGTGTTATTCTGTGATTACCCATGACAGAAAGCCTTTGCATCTGTAAACTGACAGACCAATGAGGTTTGTGTTTGTAACAAAAGCCGGTCAGATGAGGTTACTCGAAATGTTTGTGAATACACAGAACGACGGCAATATATCCATGCGGAACGACATGAGGACAGACTAATAACAATTGAAAATACTTTTAAAAAAAAACATCAAGTAAAGGGATGTTTGCATTTCCTCACTAAACGAACAGCTAGCGCAGTTATAGGTCTCTAAAATTGGCTTTCCTCTAATAAATTATAGAATAAAAACCTGATTAATATCTGTATAATGATAAATATCTCATAAAGCAAAGCTAAATATCCTTCTTATAGCTCTTTTAACTCCTATATCAGTCTTGTCCTGTCATTCAAGCGTTCATCTGCATAGTGGGCTGGTGTTCGCAATGAGGCCCCTCCCATATTACCAAATATGGTCCTGCTCTCTCTCTCTATCTCTCTCACACTCTCTCTCCCTTTGCTGCATAGTTCAAGAGTGACCCTCTCAGAGTCACAGTTTTTGAGGAGGACAGGGAACACTATGGGAGTGTGTGTTTGTGTTTATATACTTAAGTGTATACAGTTTGGAGAGAGTGGGAGCACGGACAAAGTTTGCACAGAGACCGTCAGTTCTGAGAATGGATCGTAAAACTAAATCACGTGAATGTGCGGCCTTGTTGTAAGAGCGTGTTTGTTTTGTTTCGAGGTGATCAATAAGGGGAAAATATGATGGGAGTGTGTGTTGCTCTCAGAGGTCCGGGCGCTGGCCTAAAGAGGGCAGGGCCAAGGATGGGCGTCTGAATGAAAGTAGTGCCCGGCGGGTGTCGCAGCGCGAGAGGATTGGCTGCGACTGTGCAGAGGGTGGGTGTAGTTAAGGGGGTGGAAAGGAAGCTAGCGGTCAGATTTTTAGTCAATTGCTTCTGTAGAACCAGTTTAGTCTGAGAGAGAGAGAGAGAAAGAAAGAGAGAGACAGAATGAATCATTATGATATCACAAAGCTATTTTTGATGATGTAGTGAAAAATTTCTGTGCCACTACACTGAAAATTTGGTGGTAAAACAATTTTCACTCAGAAATGGCTAGTAAAAACTGAAATGGCATTATCTTGTAAAAAATTATTTAATAATCTATACTTCAAAAGCTATAGTGTAACTCGGTGATTCTCAGCCTTTTTGACTGTAAGGCCACCTCTTATCCAACAGTATTCAAAGATCCCTCCATACAGGCTAAAATATTTTTAGTATTTCTAATATTTCTTCTGTAATTATGACTATTTCTATTAAAAGAAAAACTTACGAATGAAACTACGAGCATGCATGTCAGATTCGAATCACATTCAGCAGCGGAAGCTCTTAAAGTAATAGCAGCCAAATAACCTAATAACCCAGCTGCTGTGATGTCTGTTTATCAAAGAACAAAAGAAAAAAGAGGAAATCAATAACATTTGTAGCTTTAAGGGCGTATCTATATTTAATTTAGAATTTAGTGTTAATTAGTGATAACTTTATTCAATTTCTGTATATTTTCTACTTGCTGAATGGCACAGGTAGCTAAATATGACATTTATTATGATTGGTTTATGTGAAGATTGTTTTAAGTTCACTTAAATTAGAAGTTGTTATTTTTTAAAGTCTAATAAATGCTCAAATTGATAGCTCTCAATTATACCGTAATGTTGAATGGCTATAGTCAATGGTTAAATATTAGAAAATAAAAAACAATTTAATATAGACATCATAGTATTGGTATCAGTCACCTTCAGTCATAAAAAAGATGCCATTAAACACATATTAAAAATATACTGTCTTTATGTTGTTTCTACATTATTTTGAATATTGAATGTGAAATTATTGCAATATAAATGTATATTTAAAAACTTCAGTGTTAGGTGGGATTAATCGTGATTAATTTCAGGAAAAAAATGATTAATTAGTAAATTTTTTAAAATCAATTTTCAGCACTAATTTATATATTAAATCTAATTAACCACAATTCATTTTGTGAATCTAGAATTTTAAAAAACCATATTCTTCTATAAAAACAAGGGTTATTAAGGGGAAAACCTGATTTCTTGTGTTTTCGTTAATGTTAATTTGTATTTAATTTTAATCATTTATTAATCTATTTAAATATTTCTTACATCAACCTCAGCTCCCTGTGCTACACCATAGAGAATGTTTTTAAACAAGTTTTAAATTCCCCTTGTCTTTAATTTTGAAATATATAGTCCCGCCCCAAAGTCACTGTCATTGGTTGATCTAATGTTGTGTGATATGGTGCATAAATTTGACACTACACCTTTAAGAAACTGTTAATTGGGTTTAAGTTCTGTCACTCACCTGTGAGGACAGAGAGGACAGATTGTATTGGTTGATAATTTTCTTCATAGCAGACACTGCACCACCCGCATAACCGTTCCATCTGACACCCTGCTGGAACAGATCAGAAGAGCTGCTATAATCGTATGTGTGTGTAGCAGACATAAAAATTATTTTAATTACGCAAAATTACTCCTTGTATCATGATGAGCCTGTTTGCTGCATCCTCCCCTCAATAACTTCCTCTCCCTTTTCCCTTTCCTCTCTGTCATGCTGAGAAGAGGTATGCTTTATTATTTTGTCCTGTCAATCATCATCAGTCCTATTGTTTAAAATTACCTCTGGGTTTATCAGTACACTGTACTGATTAGCTGAATATGACTATTACATTTACAGTGCCTTGCAAAAGTATCCATTTTTTTTTTACATTTTGTTATGTTGCTGCCTTATGATAAACTTCTTTAAATTACTTTTTTTTTCACATCAATCTACACTCCATACACCATACTGACAAAGCAAAAACAGAATTGTCACAACTTCGTAAATTTATTAAAAATGAAAAACTGAAATAAGTACATTGCATAAGTATTCATATCCTTAACTAAATATTTAGCTGAAGCACCTTAACAGCCTCAAGTCTTCTACAGCACACTTTACTTTTGGGATGGGACTCTGCAGGTGATGAGCGGAGCTGGTTTCCTTCAAACATGATGCTTAGAATTGAGGTTAATCAGACCAGATAATCTTGTTTCTCAGAGTCTGAGGGTCCTTTAGATGCTTTTTTTGTAAATTCCAAGTGTGTTTTCATGTGTCTACACTGAGGAGAGGATTGAGTCTGGCCACACCGCCATAAAGACTGAATTGGTGGAGTGTTGCAGCGATGTTTGTCCTTCTGTAGGTTTCTCCTGTCTCCACATATGATCATGGAGCTCAACTAGATGGCCATCAGGTTCTTGGTCACCACTCTAACCAAAGCCCTTCTCCATCAATTGCTGAGTTTGGCCAGGAGGCCAGCTCTAGGAAGAGTCCTGGTTGTTTCAAACTTCTTCCATTAAGGGTAACAGAGACTACATGCTTCTGTGAACCTTCAATAAAGAAGATTTTTTTCTGAACTCTTCCACAGATGTGTGGCTTGACACAAACCTGTTTCTGAGCTCTACAGGCAGTTCTTTTGACCTCAGGGCTTGGTTTTTGCTCTGATATGCATTATCAGCTGTTAGACCTTTTATTAAGACGTGTGTATCTTTCCAAATCATACCCATTCAATTGAATTTGCCACAGGTTAACTTCACTTACAGTGTAGTAATATTTACAGCAAAATGAATGCTCCTGAGCTAAATTTAAACTGTCCCAGATATATTTATTTGAATACTTATGCAATGGAATCATTTTATTTTTTTATTTTTAATACATTTGCAAAGATGTTAAAAACCTGTTTTTTTTGCTTGACAATTATGGTGTATGGAGTGTAGATTGTTGTGGAAAAAAACTAATTTAAAGCAGTTTAACATAAGGCAGCAACAAAACAAAATGTGAAAAAAATGAAGGGGTATGAATACATTCCCAAGGCACTGTACATTTATATACCTGGCAGGTGCTTCTATCCAAAAAGAATTGCATTGCATTCAGGGTTTACATTTCAACATGAATACTCTGGGAATTGAACTCATGACTTTGACATTGCTAGCACCTTGCTATCCTACTGTTTGAGCTACAGGTACACATGACTATTAGCATGTAAATCACAGTAAGTGTAACCGTGCTCACCGATGCTGCTGAGGTAGGCAGGCTCTTGGCGTGAGGGTTGAACTTGGGCTTCGGAGGCTTCCCAGCCAGTCTATCCTTATGCCTTCGGCTGTTCATGTGCTAAACAAATACAGAAATAATGGTGTATTTTTAATGGTGCATTTTCAAGCCTGATATATTACACCTTTGGTGTTTTAACAATGAGATACTTAAAATAAGAGCAAAATCCTTTTTCCTACAAAATCTTTAACTTTTTAATACCTTTCACCTCTTTCCCTGCCCTCTCTTTATTTTTTTTCTTCATCCTGTTTACTTTACACTTCAGAGACAGCTTAAGGGAAGCATGAAATACCGTTAAATGTCATGTTCCTCAGGCCTGAGTAGACACCAGGCCAACAACACATACACAAACTCCTCATTCATGACACAAACTGAAAAAAGTTTGTAGAAGCATTTTAGGTAAATTGTTGCAATTAAATGCAACAATTCACACAAGAATGGTTACGAATGATGAGAAATTCACTGTGGTCATGATCAATGAACAAAGCTTGTGTGTATAAATTGAATGCTAGAAGATTTTCAGAGTAGCTCTAATGTCAGTATGACAAATTTGCTGAGTCACATTAACAAGAAACCAGCACAGATGGGGTATCAACAACTTAACTTCAGCCAGTCAATATGCACTGGAAACACACATTAGATCTGTTAAAATTACCCGTCTTAGACTGACTAGAATGTTCCTGTAACATAGAAAACTCAACCCAGAAATCCAAATGCAAATGTTTCCTCAGTTTAAATAAATCGCAGAGCACGAGTTAATACATTTTTACATTTAATTTGTTTTTGTGGGAAAACATGCTTTTGCCAGCACAACTGTACCACGTAACAAACTTGGCCATAGAGATGTGTTTCTTCTGAGAAAAAGTGAGACAAACTGCCAATACCAACAGAATAAACTGTGTGTCAATGGTGTAGATCAGAGGTCCCCAACCACCTGGTTGCGACCAAGAGGCAACCTCCCACTCTCTCTCCTGAAGCCAACAAGGAAGTGACTTAAACTGTAATTCATCGACTGGCCGCTAGAGGCTGGCTCCAAAAGGAAATCAGTCCCATAGAATGTTAAAATGCCCAACTTTACAGCAGAAAAAAACAAGTTTACAGCCTGGTTCAAAAATTATTTTGGTCTATATAACTAATTTTACCCTTCATGACAACTGCGAGGGGGGGTGAATTTTTTTATAACTCATCCATTTAAATTATATTAAGCCTTAAAATTTTGCATAATTAAGGATGCGGCCACTTGAGTGACAGGTGGATTGCCACTGCTGTTACCACCGTCGAGCTAGGTGGGCGTGGTTTCAGCAACCAACTCCCGCCTCTTTGCCCATTTTCGATTAATCTGGGAGTGACGCGTGGTGATGCGCTGCAAAGATGGCGACGGCCAGCTCCGCCTACTTTAGGCTTCAAAAACGCTCTTCGGAAACCGTATACAGGTGCATCTCAATAAATTAGAATATCATGGAAAAGTTCATTTATTTCAGTAATTCAACTCAAATTGTGAACCTCGTGTATTAAATAAATTCAATGCACACAGACTGAAGTAGTTTAAGTCTTTGGTTCTTTTAATTGTGATGATTTTGGCTCACAACAAAAACCCACCAATTCACTACCTCAATCGCATACATAAATTTGACAATTTCATGTTAAATAAGTAAATGAATGATTGCTCTGATCTGTCACATATTAGGAGTTAAACGGATCGCAGTTGATCCGTATTACGTATGGACGAGACCCTACCGTTCGGCACGCACGTGATTCGCAGATTAATTTGCCAGTTTACACGTATAAGCAATTTTAAACCACAAGAAGAAGAAATGAAAGAGAGCTTAATTCGTTACTCACGCGCTGTTCTCGTACACAATCATAGCGCGCAATAGAGACGTGTTTCAGACAGCGTGAAAATACAGAGTTGGGTATACATACCCATAAAATTAGCCTATGTCAAAAACCCTTCACGCCATTGTCATTCTCTGTGCTTTAAATTTTTTTTTTTGCTTATCCGTAAAAATAGTCCGATCTGTGACTCAAAAAAAAAAAAACCCTAAATAAGTAAATGAATGATTGCTCTGATCTGTCACATATTAGGAGTTAAACGGATCGCAGTTGATCCGTATTACGTATGGACGAGACCCTACCGTTCGGCACGCACGTGATTCGCAGATTAATTTGCCAGTTTACACGTATAAGCAATTTTAAACCACAAGAAGAAGAAATGAAAGAGAGCTTAATTCGTTACTCACGCGCTGTTCTCGTACACAATCATAGCGCGCAATAGAGACGTGTTTCAGACAGCGTGAAAATACAGAGTTGGGTATACATACCCATAAAATTAGCCTATGTCAAAAACCCTTCACGCCATTGTCATTCTCTGTGCTTTAAATTTTTTTTTTTGCTTATCCGTAAAAATAGTCCGATCTGTGACTCAAAAAAAAAAAAACCCCACAATATAATGCGTTGAACCACTATATAATGCTATTATAATACTATACCAGTCCGCGAGAATATTTTCCAAACATAACCGGTCCGTGGTGTAAAAAAGGTTGGAGACCACTGGTGTAGATGATTTCCAGCAGCTGTTTTGTCAATGGGTTGTCAAGATAATTTCTGACTGGATAAAATAACAAGTCTGCAATGTAGCTACTTGATATAAAAACACAGCTAGTTAAGCTAGGTTAAGTAGTAGAGAACACAGGAAATGTGAGCAAGGTTGGATTTTAACTTTAGCCTAAAATGGCATATTAGGACCAGGATGGTCTCTGAGGGTTAATGTTCCTTTAAAAAAAAATGTCTCCAATATTCCAATGTGTCACATGCATGTGAGCTAATTTGTTTTATGTTACCTGGCTAAGTTGAGCCTCAGAGTTAACATGGATCTCGCAAACTTCACAGTAGAAGCTCTTGCTGGCCACGCCCACACTCCCCTTACTGGCCAATCGCTTGCTTTTACATGAGGGGCGGGACAACATTGCCTTCCCTCGTCGTCGTGGCAAAACACTCTGTCCTTCCATCATTAGTTTATGCTTGGTGCCTGTGACGTGCGAAAAAGTAAGGAATTCACATGATGAAGGTTACTTATTTACGCACAAACTAAATTCAGTGAATTTATGGAATTATCTTGAAAACGAAAATGTGTAAAAGAACTCATGTGAAAAACAAAGGTGTTAAATAAGCATGTAATAACAGTCAATAATTAGGTCTATAGGTACAATATTATTAAAAAACTAATTTTAGATTATATTAAAATTATTGTTTTTTATGGAGCTGATGAAATTTTAATGCTCTATGATGAAAAGGATTTGTTAGATTATTCTCAGATTATTCACATTTGTTTATTCATTTATGTGGTTGATTCATGAGTTAATAAACCAAAAAATGTTAATGATCAGTAAGAATTTAAAGTTTTTGAAGGAAGTCTCTTATGCATTTATTTGATCAAAAATAATATTACAACAGTAATATTTCAGAATATTAAAGGGTAATATATTTCTTTCAGGATTCTTTAATGAATAGAAATTTTAAAAAGACAGTAATTACTTGAAATAGAAGTAATTAACTGTCTTTTGTAACATTATTCATGTATTTACTGACACTTCTGATTAATTTCTTTAAAAAACTCTTAATGAACGCAAGCCTTTGAATGGTAGTGTACATAAATAAATGAATAAAGAAAGAAAGATACGCACCACTATTGTGAGCATCCATCTGAGTGGTGGAGTTGACTGTGACTTTGCAGATGGGGCAATGCAGATGTTGTTTGGTCTTTTTGGGGTCTTTCTCTGCCGGTGTGTCCCCCGTAGGGTTGTCCTGCTGAGCGGCTGGCTCGCTGCTGGCACCGGTGGGTTCCAGCAGACCGTCCGGGTTCTGGAAGTGAGGGGAGGAGACAGACAGGTCCGCAGATGACACCTCCGATATAGGTGTCAGGACCACCGAACTAGAGTGAGCATCATCCACCCTCACGACAGGATCTGAGTCACAGGCAGCAGCTGAAGAGAGAGAGAAAGTGAACAAGTCAGTCATCAATTACACAGAACTACAGGAGTGTTTCGGAATATTTGAGTTTAAGTGTTCGAGTTTATATTAAAGGGATAGTTACTCTTATTTTAAGCCTGTATGATTTAAAATGCACAAGTGCATTCTGTGGCCGTCAAACTACAAAATGACAAAAAAGCACCAAAAAATTTAATAAAATCATTATAAAAGTGGAACAAATATGCATTATATACAATGCATATTTCAAGTCTTCTAAAAAGAACCAATTGCTCTGATTTGTAAATGAATCATGTATACTGATTTTGTGAACTTGTTTATGATTCATTAAAAAGATTTAATTCAAAAGAATCAATCCTTCACAAATGGGACTTTTGTCACTTCAATACATCAATTAATTCCTTTAAAAAGCCTGTGAATCTGTTCATGTTTTCAAAATGAAAAATGTCCTGACAAGTTTCAGAATAGCAGATTTCAAATCAGGTACTACAGGGGGGTCCTGCGCAACAGAGTAACTATCATTGAGATAAACGGGAATACGGAGCTCTTTCCAGATATTTTAGACCACCAGGAGTTGAAATATGTAACAAAAAGGTAGACACAAGCAAAGAATAACAACAGACCATCTGGGAGACATCTGTAAACTATGTTGTGTGTATGTGTGTTATTTTACTTATTTTCATTTATAAGTGAAAGCAGAAAGCCAGCAGCAGAGCACCACTATAAAGCATAAAAATATTCCGCTCAAACATCTGAATGTCTGCTAGCTGTAATTTAGCAGTGGGCTAGTATCCAAATTGGCAGAAATGCACAGAGCACAGGAACACAAACACAAATACAGACACTTTCAGACTGACTGTTTTCGGTCATGCAACATTATTAAGGCTGTGCTTTAACAGACCAGTGCTCATGTGCTGAACTTCAGACCATTTATTTAAGTCTGCCATTGAAACTCAAGAGCTGTGTCCTTGTATTTGATCTGTTCTGTTAAAAAAGAAGATAAGCGCCATTGCAGCCAGGGCAGTGAGAAATCAAACCAGGTGCTCTCAAAGTTTCACTGAGCACACAGAACTGTTAATTCCATGTTTTTGACCATCTAAACAAACCTAAAACTGTTAAATATAAATAAAAATTTTCAACCCATGCATACTGGATGAGAAACAGAAACAGTCCTATTTTACAAACTGTCTTAAAAACATAAAATTGTGAAAATTCATCATATTTATCCAGGGAATGCATTAACTGAAAAAATGTAGAGACTGAATACAATGTAAAGTGATTTGGATAAAAGCATCTGCCAAATGCATAAATGTAAATAGCTAATTACACAGAGGACAACATGGACAGGCTATGACACGCTTTCATCCTCAAAAACATGAACAAGTCAAAAGAAAATATGACCTAGACTACATTGAACACAGGCTGAAATAAGGATAAACATGGTTTGTGCTGACCACAGAACGTTTAGTGTTGTGAATTATTGGCTGTCGATAGCATAAACTACTGAAATTCAAAAGACATTTAAGAACCAAACATTAAAACTATTAAAAAAAGTCTGCTGAGTTTTGTGTAAGTTGTGTGTGATATATATGAGTCTAAGTTTGATTTTAAGGGTATTTTTATTTAGTTTTCATATAATAAATCATTTTAAACTTGATGTTTAATGGTAAATCCGGGGTACCTTAAGAAAAAACAGTCAAAAATAACAGAACAAAATGACAATAACAAATCAATGTCTGGAGTCACTATAGTCACTCCAGACTCGTCTAAGTAAGAGACTTGTCATAAAATCAACACCTCCCCTGGCAGGACTCCCTCCTACATGACATGTAATAGGTGTTTGTAAATTTAGGACCTATCAGAGAGTGCTGAAGTAATTGTACAATCCCTGCAGGCGTCCTAATGCCTTAGTTTTGCTGAGTAGCACAGGATTTAAACACGTGAAAGTGTTTATTTAGCATAGATGTTTGTGAGGAGCGACCCATAGGGCCGTTTTTGATATGTGCACAGATCTGCTGAATTCCCCCATCTGGGGAATCAGATAGACTGATCCTTCTGTGCCTCATTGACATTTAGATTATACCAATTCCCCTAAAAGGGGATTCCTTAGGGGGTACAGAGGAAGAGTTTAAAGAAAACAGAGCAGGGAATAGAAAAGGAAGGTTGTGTGCGACCACGTGTGTGTGTGTGTGTGTGTGTGTGTGTGTGTGTGTGTGTGTGTGTGTGTGGGAGGTTTGCATTCACACCCACCTGAAAAATGTGCGAAAGTTAATGAAATGGAGAGAATTGCCTTGGGTAACACTCGGTGCCCATCTCCCTGTGGAGTGTGTGTGTGTGTGTGTGTGTGTCTCGCATTGGTCTTGTAAAACTGATCTTCAAAGACTAATATGATCTGAGTCACTCTTTTGAAATCTTTCCGTTTTGGACAGCTCACTCTTTCCAAAGACATGCAATGTGAAACATGCGGGGACGGATGTGGAAGAATGGCATGATGGCTATATTTAACTTAATTAAATAATTTAATCTTTGTAAAAAAAAATTCAGCAACTGTAAATTACTGCACTTATTCATACTACATCAGCAAACTCATGATGAAAACGATCTGTGACATCTGACAGCAAGAGCATTCAAAGTGTTTCAGTAGCTGTTATAAAATGGACCCCTTCCTTTAGAAATTTCCAGAACCCCCTCCCAGCCTCCCTTTCCATTTCAGGCATCTTATGGCTTTTAATAACAGCTGACATGCTTGTAGAGTTGTGATTGGCTCCTGCAGCTGCGAGCTTAATGACAGAACAGTGCTAATTTCATCAGGCAATCAGCTCAACTTGTGTGTGTCTGTGTGTGTGTGTGAAGCCACCAGCAAGTAAATGTAGGTATTTTTGCAAATAGCTGGTGTGAAGAATGTGTTGGTATGTGCATGAGAGCTAATCCAAACACAAAAGACAAAATTGCAAGAGCTAATCTTCTCATTCTCCATCTCTAGCTCTTTTAAACTCTCTCTCGCTCTCTCTGTTCTCTCTTATCTAATCTCTCATTTACTTCGCTTCTGATTGTATGCTCCCTCTCACCGTTGTGTCACCATGAATGGGGCCGAATATTAAAATGTGATTTGATGAGCTTGGTGTTCTTGCTTTCTATCTTTTTGCCCTATCCTTCCACTTTCATTTGTTCTCTCTCTCTCTCTTTCGTTTTTTTTTTTTCATACTCAAGGTCTAATAGCAGAATTTTCTGACTCCCTCCCTCTCCATTTTTTCCCTTTATCGTATCCCTTGGGCCCATATTCGGGTTGTCTTTCAAATCATATTCTATAGAGTTTGGGCAGAGGAGAAGAAAAAAAGAGTTTAAAAGGGATGAAAAGGTAGAGATTATTGGAGAGGGCTGTCTCAAAGCTCTCTGTCGGCTTGTTGTTCTGCTCTCTGTGTCACAGTACCCCCCCGTAACAAGAGGAAAGCCAAGTCCTTCAGTCAGAAATGAAATCCCCTTAATATACAGGACAGATCATGAAGTGCAAGACTGGAGGATATTCACAGCAGTGAAGGAACTACAGGCAAGCTAAATGCAAGATTCTTCTAAAAAGCATATTAAAATAAAATGACAAAAGTAAAAAAATATATGACCAAACCAAAAAGTTGTCTTTGTTTTCTCCAGACATTCTTGAGGTAGTCACAAACTAACACTTGTATTTCTGGCTATATATATATATTACCTGTGTGCTCACAGTCATAATACAATATTTGAAGCTGAATATTCTCGACATACTCTGAGAGATGTCAGATTACAGAAGTTAAATAGGTTGCAGATGCACTTTATGTTGTCTGTAACACATTTTAATCGCATCAGGGCATGTTTCATAAGAAAAACGCCCACTCTCGCGGCTAATCATCTGTGAGTTGACTTACTTTCCTCCATGGCGGTGTCATCCAGCAGTGCAGGAAGTGGATCCGGAGCGCTCGTTTTCACTCTGTTACTGTCTCTCTCCCTGTCCCTCTCTCGGTCCTTCTCTCTGTCTCGGTTGTGATGTGCGTTGTCGAGTTGTCGTCTCTGCTGTTTGTTCTTCTGAGCCTCTAATGCCTTCAGCTTACGAGCATGTTTATGGCCTTTATAATGAGCTTCAGCTTGATTCTAGAGAAAGACAGAAAGAGTGAAAGGAATACAAAACTGTAACTATTATTTAGTCATTACATTGTTAGTTTTGCAGTTTGTGTTATTTCATAGTTTTGGTCTCTTTATAATTATTCTTAAAACTGGAAAATATATACTAACTAGTATGTGGGTCAAAATTCTTGACTCATAGTTTACATGACAACAGATATGCATATGCACAGAAACATGCATATGTGACCCTGGACCACAAAACCAGTCATAAGGGTACATTTTCTGAAAAAAGAGATTTATACATTATCTGAAAGCTGAATAAATAAACTTTCTAGTTATGTGTGGTTTGTTAGGATAGGACAATATTTGACCGAGATACAACCATTTGAAAATTTGGAATCTGAGGGTGCAAAAAAAAATCAAAATACTGAGAAAATCACCTTTAAAGTTGTCCAAATGAAGTTCTTAACAATGCATATTATTAATCAAAAATTAAATTTTGATATATTTACGGTCGGAAATTTACAAAATATCTTCATGGAACATGATCTTTAGTTAATATCCTAATGATTTTTGGCATAAAAGAAAAATCAATAATTTTGACCCATACAATGTTTTTTTTGGCTATTGCTAAAAATTTACCCAAGCGACTTAAGACTGGTTTTGTGGTCCAGGGTCACATATATGTTTGAGTGTCTACACACACACACACACACACACACACACACACACACACACACACACACACACACACACACAGAGTGAGTATGGACAGTCTGCATTAGGGTGATAAGTGTAAATGCCCAGCAGAGGGCCCAAATTACAATTGCAGGTGTCAATTGAAACACACTTTATAATTACACTGTTGATAAATGTAGTGTGTGAGTGTGAGAGATAGTGATTGGCACTGTGATGTATTCAAAGACACACACATATGTTGACTAACAGTACAACACCTCTTCAAGCCAAAAACATAAATGTTTCTAGACTCCAGCAATCATCTAGGGCCATAATCCAGATTTCTGTGCGAACATGAGCTGTTGACATGCTGAGCTGTGAATCCCTTATTGCATACCGGAGTAATTTTAAAAACGACACTAACATGACACTAACTGAAAATGACACTAACACTGTTTAAAAAGCATAGGAATAAAATTTTAAATTGCAAATGGAATGGCAGTTGGTTAAAGTTTTTCAACTTGCAAATCAAAGCTAACATCCATTTCATCAAGCAAATCTCTGGCTAATATCAGCGCAGAAATTAGTCTGTGGGCCCAGAGGGAGTAATCAACCCACTCAAATCCTCTTAAGTACTTAGCAGATGACCCTCATCCAGGGACGGAGTTGACAGCACTGTCTGCTCAGAACAGATGAGGAGGAAGGATGTTCATACACACTTCTGCTCGCACACACACACACACACACACACACACACAAATATGTGTGCATACACATATATACACCGATCAGGCATAACATTATGACCACCTTCCTAATATTGTGTTGGTCCCCTCTTTGCTGCCAAAACAGCCCTGACCCGTCGAGGCAGGGACTCCACTAGACCCCTGAAGGTGTGCTGTTGTATATGGCACCAAGATGTTAGCAGCATATCCTTTAAGTCCTGTAAGTTGTGAGGTAGGGCCTCCATGGATCAGACTTGTTTGTTCAGCACATCCCACAGATGCTCGATTGGATTGAGATCTGAGGAATTTGGAGGCCAAGTCAACACCTCAAACTCGTTGTTGTGCTCCTCAAACCATTCCTGAACCATTTTTGCTTTCTGGCAGAGTACATTATCCCGCAAAAAGAGGCCACAGCCACCAGGAAATACTGTTTCCATGAAAGGGTGTGCATGGTCTGCAACAATGCTTAGGTAGGTGGTGGTCAAAATAACATCCACATGGATGGCAGGACCCAAGGTTTCCCAGCAGAACATTGCCCAAAGCATCACACTGCCTCACAGACCAGGAACACCCCACACGAACTGCAGTTCTGAAGTTGCTCTGACCCAGTTGTCTAGCCATGGCCCTGGTCAAACTCGCACAAATCCTTATGCTTGCCCATTTCTCCTGCTTCTAACACATCAACTTTGAGGACAAAACGTTCACTTGCTGCCTAATATATGCCACCCACTAACAGGTGCCATTAAGAAGAGACTTCACTTGACCTGTCAGTGGTCATTATGTTATGCCTGATCGGTGTATACATATACTGTACACTACCATTAAAAGTGTCAGTATAAATCTAACAAAAGATTTCTATTTCAAATAAAAGCTGTTCTTTTGAACATTTTACTTGTCAACGAATCTTGAAAACAATTACCACAGTTTCCACAAAAAAAGGAAAAAAAAAAAGGATTAAGCAGCATTTTCAACAGTGATAAGAAATGTTTCTGGAGCAGCAAATCAACATCATGTGTTGATGATCTGACAATCATGTGACACTGAAGACTGGAGTAATGATGCTGAAAATTCAGCTTTGCATCACAGGAATAAATGACATTTTACATAAAAACAATAGAAAACTGTTTTGTGGAATTGTATTTTTTTTTAAATTGTGAAATTGTAATAATATTTCACTATACACACACACACACACACACACACACACACACACTCACACACACACACACAGTTTCAACCAGCGATTTAATATTTCTACCAGCTAATAAGAGAATGTTAGAATAGAGAGAGTAAAATGAGAAAAGAGGAAACAGACAGATAGGCTAACAGAAAAACAAAAAGACAGAGAGACAGACGGAGAGATAGAGTGTTGTATGGTGAACCACAAGCAGTGGGAAACTAATGAGCAATTGATAGACTTTCAGACGTCTAACTGTGCAAACTCTGTTGGGTTTCTTTCTCAGAATATATCTGGGCTAAAAATGCCCTTAACAGCAGTGAAAACTGAACAGCAGAACTACAAATGACATCCTATTCAATAGTTTTTCCACAGCTTTCAGAAACATACAAATACACAATGATTAGGTGCACAGGTTAATTTTCATGGCTAAAATATTGATGTGAGCCGCATGCTACACTTAAAAGTGTTTTGATGCCTTGCTAATGAGAGATGCACTGGTGATTATCCACTTAGAAATGGTGAACGTCACAAGTTATAATTTTGCAATGGAGTTGTACAATATTCTGTGTGAATGTGGGACAAAGTAGCAGAAAAAAGTCTGAAGAAACAATCTCTCTCTCTCTTTATATATACAGTATATATATATATGTGTGTGTGTGTGTGTGTGTGTACATACAGTACACATTTGAAAAAACAGAAGCAATAGAGTGACAGGACAGTACCCCCAAAAATGAAAATATAGTCATCAAAATTCTTGCAAACTGCCCTGAAACTGATCAAGTGTCACCCAGAGGCTGACAGACACTAAAAGTGAGTGGGACATAACTCTTTATGACAACACAAGCAGCATGAATCTGGCAATGGACATAAGCATGCTTTAATTTTTCATGCACATCATCTCAGTTGTGAGGATCTTCTCTCCACTCAAACATGCTGTCCAACGCAGCACTGGACTTGCCAGAAACAACAAAGACTGTTAAAGCTGCCTGGATCAAGTTATGTACATATAATAAACATACATAAAAAGCTGCACTCTAAACCCGTATACATTTTTTATTTGCCTTGAAACAAACAAAAATTGGATAAGGGCTGAGGTGATTTTGACTGTTAAGAGTTCTTATGACACATTGTATTTCAAGTCTTCCTAACTAATATAATAGCTTTGATTGAGAAACAGGCTGAATTTTTGGTAGTTATATTCCTGAACCTCACTGGGAAATTTCATTGGGACACATCTTGAGATCCAATAAAGGTGTCTTGAGTGTTACAACTAAATGTGAATGAGCTGCAGCAGAGGGGAAGATTTTCAGCGACCTACATTTTGGTCAGTTTTTCTCGCAAAGCAAACATATGATTCAAAATATAGCACATGAGTCATATGAACCACTTTTACAGTGCTATTCATGGTGCTTAACAGCTATGATCACCATGAAATGTTGTTGCATGCAAAATAATTTGCTGTTGTGGTCAATGGAAAAAAACAGCATATGGGTTGGGAACGACATAGAAGTACAAAAAATTACAGAATTTTCATTTTGGGGTGAACATATTTCAATAAAATATTTTAATGAAAATGTCTGTCCTTTATTTTATGTAGCACCAATTTTATGTAAGCAATGAGAGACTTAAGGCTTTGCTATACTGTATTCAATATAGTGCCTTATATTGCTTAATAGGGATTGGGTTACAGTAAGTCTGCAGTAATTATAATAATAAAATTGAAGTCAATGGGAAGTACCATTTAACTAGTTAAATGTGTGTGTGCTTGTGTGTGTGTGTGTGAGAGTGAGTGAGAGAGAAGAGAGAGAGAGAGAGAGAGAGAGAGAGAGAGAGATGTTAAAGGGACTGTGATAATTTCACATTATCAAACACAAAGTGAGAAAACCAAAGAAAGAAAGCGGATAAATGCTGTAAGGGATGAAACAGCTTTTACCCATCCAGCGTGATGTTCACTGTCTGTCATCACAAATGCGGAGGGTGAAACACACACACACTACACACTAACCGTGGAGTTGAAGCGCAGGTGGCAGATATTGCATGAGATGACCTGTTTTTTCTTCAGGGACTGAGGAACACCAAATGTATGGTTTATCACAGCCTTCTGCACCGGGTCCATCTGAGGGAGGGGTGAGAAAATGAAGTTAAAATGAACTGAAGAAAAAAAAAATTATACAACTCACTTCGAATCAACAGACTCACTATCTGCTCATTCAAACACATTCCTTCCATCCCAGCGACAACCCTGAACCTGACGCCCGGGGCCGAGGGACTTTCCCTTGACACCCCTTGCCATGGGAACACACACCACATCACAATGACTCTGCAGCTGGTCGCACGTCTATTTGTTTTAGAGCCTCAAGAATGTCCTTGTTGTTCATCCGCAGTCATCCCTGGCTGGCTAGGACGCTGCCAGGTCAATGTGTGTGTGTGTGTGTGTGTGTGTGTGTGTCAGTGAGCGTATGTGTCTGATGAAGCCGCCTGTTGCTGACTCTGAGTACTGGAGAGGGTCAGGAGATGGTGGAGCATGATATTAATGCAGGAATGAAGGAGATGATGAGATGAAATGAGACAAGAGACGATGACACCATAGAGAAGTGATGAGAGAAGAGAGAAGATATGATGAGCAGAGCAGAAGACAAAATAAACAGTAAAAAGATGACAACAGATAACAAAAGACAAGAGGAAAATACATGAAATGAGCAGAGAAATGATGCAATAAAAAGATGAGAAATAAGATGAGATGAGAAGAGATGAGATTAGAAGGAGCAGTGAAAACAAAAGAAGAGATGAAACAAGAAGAAATGAGAAGAAACAAGCACAGAAGAGACAAGAAGAGAAAGATGAGCCAAGATAAAGTGTCTAGCAGTAAAATCAAAAGAAAAGAAGCAAGAAGAGATGAAAAGAGACAAAAAAGAAATGATGAGACAAGAAGCAAAGCAGTAAATTCCAGAGAAGTGAGAAAAAAAGAGAAATGAACAGATGGGATGAGATGAAGCAACACAAACTAGGAACAGAAGACAACGAGGAGACGTGGAGAGAAGACAAACTCATTAGAAGATGAGACAGGAGATGACACATCATGAGACGAAAAGTAGAGACAATAGGAAGACAATACAAGATGAGAAGCATATAATATAAACAAAAGAATAAAATAAAAGCAAAATAAATAAATAAAAGAGACAAGATGAGACAACACAAGATGTGAAGAGAAGAGAGGAGACAGAGAAAGAGAAGACAAAACCATCAGAAGATGAGACAAGACACATCATGAAATGAAAAGTATTGAATCAATAGGGAGACAATAGCTATGCTTCCATCCAAAGATACGAATTAAACTTATGAGCAAAATTGGAATACTGCATAAAACATTTGCAAATAAAGCACAGTTTCCCTCCAGTGAGTTGAAGAGAACAAAATCGTCACTTCCTGATTAACTCATGCTAAATATCACGAAGAAAAATTTAATATGCTGCAGTTGGCACTGTACAATATATAATCATTTTTGTATACAATAAATTACATGCTTCAGAGTGCGCCGACGAAACGCGGTCATGTTATCTTATTTTCGGAGTCTGCTGTTTGGGAATGCAGTTGTGGGAGTTAATTATAACAAAGCACTTTGACGAGACTTTGCTCAAGCATATTAGAATGACAAAACTAGCATTTCAGATGCTGTGCAATGAGATTTCATTCTGTCCCAATGCAAAGTAACATGTCTTTTTTGACGTGCATTAAGGAATTTATTCGGTAAAAGTGTTTCCATCATAGTTTATGCGTTTTTCGTAGTTCTTACCGGATAAGAAATGTATCCTACTTAGTTAAGCGCATACATTTTAATGCACATTTTTAGAATTTATGCGCATCTTGGCGTTTCCATCCAGCGGTTTTTTGTGATATCCCAAACTACGCATAAAAATAGGTGGATGAAAACCTAGTTAACATGAGATGAGATGAAGTGAGACAAAGCAGCTGTAAAGAGATGGCATGACACAAGGACAGAAAAGAAAAAATAAGAAAAAATCAGTTGTAAAGAGAAAAAGAGAGAAAAACTGAGCAGATGAGACTTGAAGAGCAGAGACAAGAAGAACAGAGAAGAGATAAGCATACTAAAGCAGCAGTAAAGAGAAGAGAAGAGGAGAGGAGCAGTAAGGAAAGCAAAGGAAAGCAGTGGAGGATAAGAGAGGAGAGAGGTCACTGACAGCTACTTTGCTGTTGAGACAGGTGCATTTATCACTGTAGTACACACTCACACACACACACACACACACACACACACACACACTGATCTGATCAAAAAGAGAACCAGCACCTGACTATATATTAACAGTGCATATATGCGATAAAGACGTGCCCTTGGTGTCTAAGATATATTATTTTTAGTCGACCAACATGAAATGTATCCTACTTAGTTAAGCGCATACATTTTAATGCACATTTTTAGAATTTATGCGCATCTTGGCGTTTCCATCCAGCGGTTTTTTGTGATATCCCAAACTACGCATAAAAATAGGTGGATGAAAACCTAGTTAACATGAGATGAGATGAAGTGAGACAAAGCAGCTGTAAAGAGATGGCATGACACAAGGACAGAAAAGAAAAAATAAGAAAAAATCAGTTGTAAAGAGAAAAAGAGAGAAAAACTGAGCAGATGAGACTTGAAGAGCAGAGACAAGAAGAACAGAGAAGAGATAAGCATACTAAAGCAGCAGTAAAGAGAAGAGAAGAGGAGAGGAGCAGTAAGGAAAGCAAAGGAAAGCAGTGGAGGATAAGAGAGGAGAGAGGTCACTGACAGCTACTTTGCTGTTGAGACAGGTGCATTTATCACTGTAGTACACACTCACACACACACACACACACACACACACACACACACTGATCTGATCAAAAAGAGAACCAGCACCTGACTATATATTAACAGTGCATATATGCGATAAAGACGTGCCCTTGGTGTCTAAGATATATTATTTTTAGTCGACCAACATTGTACTCACGAACATAACCCATGGAGTGTGAGTGTGTGTGTGTGTGAGAGTGTGTCCAGAATGCGGATATCAGAAGAAAGAGAACCCTGTTACACACACACTGCCTCCAAAACTGTGCTCAGAGAGTCTGAAACTAAATCTAGATCCTAATCTGAGCCGCTGCTCGAGTCTTAAATCTAAAATTACTATCTAACACAATACACCTCTGTTTAGCGGCCCTTTTTGCAAACATTCTGCACTTTTAAAAATACCCTGCAGTCTGCGGAATCGTTCCTGACATTTAGAGCTGACATTTGGGACCCAGCGCGATGCCTTTAAAATGTTCCGAGTTAACTTTAAATGATGACACATTTGGGAAGGTGAGGTGTAGGAAATAGAACCAAGAGTGCTGATGAACTCACAGTGTTGAAGTTGGGGAACAGGTTGAGGGGGGAGGAGCCACTGAGCCGGAAGGGCAGGAAGTGTTTCAGGTCCAGAGGGGTCTGCAGCGGGCGACCCCGCACCGGTAATGAGGCCAGCAGGGGGCTCCCCTGAGCAGCTGTACCTGAGAAGAGCAACAACAACAACCAAACACATATAAGAGAAAAACGCCACTGTTCAGGCCAAGGACAGGAGAGTATTTAAATCAAGCAATTAGTGCACAAACACCATGATCAATGAAGAGAAGGGAGATACTTAATAACAGTCAGACAGTTCAGTGAACCAGGATCAAATGAGTTTTAAACCATCATTATTCTGACACGCACACACACACACACACAAACATTGACTGTTCTGATTACAATTAATGTTCTATCTATTCAGAATTCATTGTTAATATTGCATGAAAAAAAAGGTTTTAAAAATTCACAAAGACAATGCGAGTAAATTAATTCATAACTCGATATAAGTATATTCACTACCGGCTTTTCTCTTTTTAAAATCAAATTATATAACTTTATAGGCCTGGAAATCACAATTTAAAAATTCCCTTCAATATATTTCCAGTTTTTTCATGATTGTGGGGACCCTGGCCTAACCCTACAAATAACACTCTCTACAAATATAGCAAATCCTGAATGGATAGTTGACAAAAACATGTCTATGAACCTTTTCTTTTCAGCGATAAGACTGTAGGTTACAATATATATAATTAATATAAATATATATACTTTACACAAAAGTGTGCATTACAGATGCATACTCTGCTCTGCAAAAAGTTTTGCACTTTTATAGTGAATATCATCCCAACACTTCAGACAAAAACTCTTTAAAGCACATAAACACATTGTAAACCAGCTGGAACATGGACATATTAGCATACAGATAGTGACTGAGCAAGATTGCTACATTATATTTTAAGAATACTATTATTATTAGCTTTGCTGGTCCTATTGCTCTTCAGATTGTTTTATAACCACGTGAGTGTTTTTAAGGATAAATAATGATAAATATATTGAGAAAAAGGCATTGATCATTTTAGTAATACATACACATAAACACACACATACAGCACTTTTAATCTGACTGATCGGGTGTGGACTGGACCACATTGGCTGTGTCTCACTCAGTGAAATGGACACCATGGGATATGGGATTTTTAATGGGGTGTGTGCGTGTCTACAGGGATATCATGTTTCTAATGGAGCAGGGATGTAGAGGTTTCTCATTTTCCAGTTGGCTGAATCTGAAATCTAGGAGCGTATAGACACTTACCCTACCACAAAGATCAATCAGTGTAGTGTACACACACACACACACACACACACACACACACATACACTCACACACTCCATGGAGGCCTGATATCAGTCATTTAATTCTAATGTCAAAAATTGTCACATTTCAGTGTGTGTATGTGTGTGTGTGTGAAAGAGAGAGAGTACTGATGCTTTCAACTCACATAAGTGCAACATTAATCATAGCCCTGACAATTTATTAGAGCGAGTAAACACACAACCAGCCCCCCCCCCCACACACACACACACACACACACACACACACACACACACACACACACACACGCACACACACGCGCGCGCACACACACACACACACAGATATGCTCAAAATGTCAGGATTAGGCCTTAGTGTACAAAATTCATATAATGCCAAACGAAGTGTCAAAAATATAATCTACTTAGCCTCATGTCTTTCCAAATCTGTGTGATTTTTCCATCTTCCGTGGGACATAAAAAGAGAAGTTTAGCAGAATGTTCATGCTGTTGTTTTTTTATACAATGAAAGTGAATAGTGACCAAGTGACTCTATATTCAAAGTCTCCTGAAACCATCCTAAAATTTTGTGTAAACAAATTCCAAAATTTAGACAATTTAAACCCACTGATAATGTCTGCTCCTCTTAATATATATATATATATATATATAAAGTACATTTTAATTAAATAAATGTTTAAATACTAAATTGCTAAAACTCAAATAAAAATAAAGGTACATGGAAATGCTTAAAATGACAAAAGCACATAACAAAATTACTAAAACTTAAACCAAAAATCAAAATAAATTCAAAACATTAAAGAAATTTGTATATACTATTACATAATACTAAAATAACACTGGTCTGATGTCACTGAAGCTAAATATCATTGTTTCTTGCATACCTCATAACTGATCACAACACAAAATCTGGATACGTGCATGATTACCGGAGAATAGAGATGATCAGAGAATAACTGCTTACATTTATATTAGAATATAGATGATATCAAGTTCTACAGACTACTAGCCATTGTACAGAAAAAAAGCCTGCCTAACATCCCTTTTTGTTTCAAGGAAGTTAAAAAGTCCAGTGGGTTTGGAACGATATGAGAGTGAGTAAATGATGACAGAATCTCCATTGTTGGGTAAACTATATCTTTAATTTCCTATTTCTTTAAAACTTACACACAAAGCACTTCAGAGATGTTTTAGTGAGGACACTTCAGTTCTAAAGCCTCATGCAACCTCATTCCATCACATTTTCATGTTCCAAAGAAATGTCTGGGTGACAGTGTGTAATCTAATTCAATGGAGCTCAAAATAAATGACCAGCACGCCCTGAAAAGGCAGACTTATTTTACAAGGGGTTATACGCACGCAATATTCAACCAGAAATACACACATCCACACAATGAACGTCACACACATGCTCTTGGCCTCAAACAGATAAAGCTTTGAATTCAGATGGTGCCACCAGTATATGCTGGTGTTTGAATGTAGTGGACCACAAAACACTGAGCAAAAAGAAAGACGAGATTTTCCCCCCCTCTCTCTTTCCTGACAACATTTGAAAGGCGTAATTATGATTTCCAGAGAGCTGTAATTAGCAGAATCCGCTGCTCTTGCTTCTCTGTCTATCTCCCTCCCTCCATCTCTCTCTCTCCCTCTCAAACATAGCCACAAAATCAGTGCAGAGTCCAGCTGGCATCTCTCACTGTGTTTCTATGTCACATCACATATTCCTTCCTCATTTGCTCTTTTGTTTCAACACTCACCTCCTCACACATCCATTTTATATATCTGAATATAAATGCTTGTGCACAGACTACCATTCAAAGGTCTGGGGTCGGTAATGTTTTTAAAATAATTATCTTATGCTCTCCAAGGCTGCAATTATTTCATCAAAATACAGTAAAAACAGTAAAAGTGTGAATCATTGTTCAAATTTAAAACGACTATTTTACTTTTTTAATATAATGTTAAAATGTAATTTATTCCTGTTATAACAAAGCTAAATTTTCAACAGCCATTACTCCGGTCTTCAGTGTCACATGATCCTTCAGAAATCATTCTGATAAGATGATTTGATGCTTAAGTAACATTTCTAATTAATATCAATGGGGATTTACAATGTGCTGCTTAATATTTTTGTGGAATTTTTTTATGTACATAGAAGTACAAAAGTAACGATATTTATACAACAACAGAACAAACAGAACAAAACAAAACAACAGAAAAACAGAACAAAAGTAGACATTTCTTCTAAAAAAAAATCTTACTGACTTCAGACTTTTGCAAGATATTGTATACAGTGGGATCCTGCACTTGAACTGCATATATGCCACATATTTGCATCATCCATCAAGAGTTGAGATGATCCAAGAGGCATCTTGAGCTTTAATAAAAGCAATAACATCTGACTGTCTGTACAGTGTCACATTATCAATGTCAAAAATTTACTTTAATTACTGTCACAGAAATATAATGCAAAATATGAAATATGCTTGTTTCTTTTCACACCAAAACACTCAAAATGTTTATTTCCAAAATTTCAAATGTGGCTTTTGGACCCCACTGCACATGTTTTTTAATATGTTTACATGAGAAAGTTTGTACAAGTGTGTGTGTGTGTGTTTTTGGAAGGCATTGCCGACATCCCTCTTTCCGTTTACATAACGCACAAGCCTACAGCATGTACCGCACACACGACCTAAGCTCAGTGTCACACACACTCACAAACAAACCCTGCAGCAGCAAACCCTGCCTGAGACGAAACCGAGGGTGACAGGCATGTGCGTGTGTGTTTGTGTGCATTCACATGTATATTGCATTTTATTTGTGCTTTCCTATTTGTATGTGTCTGTGATGCGAGAGAATGTGACAAAGAGAGAGCTGCATTCTGTGCTGTTGAGACGAGCGCATAGTGTTTAGCTGCAGTATGTGTGTCAGGTCGCACCGGAGCTCTTTAATAAACACTCAAAAATTCAGCTCGGGCCTGGTCAGTCCAGCAGAACCAGCTCAGACGGTGCAGGGTTGGACCAGAGATCTGCTGATGCCCCGCTTTTTTGAAACGCGTCGATTTTTACAAAGCTCATCGGTCTGAAAAGCCAGCTATCCAGTGCGTTGTGATTGGCCGAATACCTCAAGCGTGTGACGGAAATGTTACGCCCCTTACCATATTGTGATGATGCCCTGTCAGGCTGGAGCGATGATTCAAAAACATGAAAACCCATTATAAACGAGGCATTCGTTGCATCCAGTGGGGACATAATTACAGATTATAATGATTTATACTGTCTTTTTACGCTTTGCGTTGCATCGCGCAGCATAAACATAAAACCATGTCTGCATTTGTGATCGGAGAAATTACAAACAACAAGCCCTACTCTACACTACCCAAAACTCGCATTTGAATCATCAGTGGCAAATTCTTTAAATATCAAAAACGTACTTACAGTCTGTGAGTCAGAACAGCCGGCATTGTAGTCTACTCTACCAGGATCAGGAAACAGTCCTCCATAAAAAGTGCTGCACACATCTGAATATTTGGGTTGAACTGTTCTGGAACAGTGTTGTAAATACAACTTAACCACTGATTTCTAGTCGTGTCCTCTTTTGGAAGGCCAAACAAAGTAGTTTCGCTTTCACAACGAAACACAACATCACACACGGCGGCCTAGAGTGAGCGGCGGCGGCCTAGAGTGAGCAGAGGCCGGGGGCTAGAGTGAGGAACGGCCGGAGGGCTAGAGTGAGCAGAGGTGGCGGCCTTGAGAACGGCGCGGCCGGCGGATTCGACGATGGAGGCTTGCGGCAACCACATGTGATGACCCCGGGCTGGACTCCGCTT